GTTGATGTTGGCTTGGAGGAGGTTTATGGCCATTATCCGATGGCCATTGGAACCTCCTCAGCCCCTGGCGCCGCCGCCTGTTGGGGTGGGTCCGAGGACTGCCCGGCCGTCTGGCTCGGGCCGTCCCCTCCTGCCTTCTTGGTCCTCCTACCTTTTGGTGGGGGGACACACGCCTTGCTTCCGGCGCGATGTTCCGCAGGGGCACCGGCCGCGGCGCAGACGATACAGTGAGGCACCGCCGTGCATCCGCGGGCCTTGTGCCCTGGTTGACCGCACCGGAAGCACACACCGGAGCGATCCACCCCCGCCTGGCACTGCCCGGACAGATGACCTCGAGCCAGGCACCTGTAGCAAACAGAGGGACGGGGATCCATTAGCCTCGCCAGGGCGGATACCCACCCGACCAGCAGGCGGCCGTCGGTTGCGACTTTCTTCGCCGCCGCGACGGGACACTGGACCACGACTGATCCCAGTCCGTCGCGGCCGGTCGACATCGCCCCCGCTCTCAGCTGGTCAGCTGGGCACCCACCCGCTGCAGCGACGGCGGCGACCACCTCGGCAGCGGTGGTGGCGTCGTCCAACCCCGCCACCCGTAGGGCCACCGTCTTGACGGGCCGGGAGACGCGGACGACGCCATCATCGAGGACCTCCCGCAGCCTCTGGGCCAGGGAGTCCGCCTTCTCGCCACTGGAGGCGCCCGGGAACTCAAAAATGCGTCCCCCGTTGGCAGCCTTCCGAAGGCGAACACCCTGGGCTCCAAAGTCGGCTGGGTTGATCCTCGCCTTTGCCGAGGCGATGACGCTGGCGTAGGTGACACCGCTCTCCGCCGCGCCCGGCTGCAGCGTGATGGTCACCGCCGACGACCGAGGTGCATGAAGTTTGTCGATTCCCTTCTTCTCCTGGAGCCGCCGTTTAGGGCCCACCTTAATCCATTCGCCCACCGCGGGCCGCGACTGCTGCTGCCCGGGTGGCGAGTCATTCTTCTTTTTCTTTTTCTTCTTTCTCTTCTTCTTCTTGCTTTCTCCGCTAGGGGGCGAAGGCGTCCCCTGGGTCTTGGGCAGCCTCTGCGCAGGACCCGATGAGCGTGGCTGTGGCGCTGGTGGGGCCCGGCGTTGTATGCCGCTGGGGCCGAGTTGAGCCGCCGATCGGGGTGGCTGTCGGGCGAGTTTGGCAGCATAAGTGCCCTCGCCATTCCTTTTGTCGGCCGCGAGAGGCGGCCGTAGGTTCCTCTCCGGGAGAAGTCTGTCTTCCAGCGAGGCCAGGCGGGCGTTCATCATTCCGCCGACCTGGACCATCACTGCGCGACAGATCTCCTCCACGGAGGGCGTCTCACACGGTGAATGTGGGGGCCGTGATGCGGGGGCGGCCTCCATCGACACGTCCGGGTCAGAGTGGCCCGCGAAACCCCGTTTCCGCAGGTCGTCCTTAATCGTCTCCATCTCCTTGCGGAGAGCGTCCATTTCGGCGCGCAGGCGGGCATTATCCGCCTGCAGCTGCCGAGTCTCCTCCGTTTGTGTGCGGGCCCCGAGAACTTCCACCGCATCCTTGATGGACGCAGCGGCGTCCTTCAAGGCCCGCACAAAGGTACCTTTCAGGCTGGAGGACTTGGTCGCCACCTTTGTTATTATCTCCAAGTCCTCCCGCACCTGCTCTTGAATCTGAGCGGCGTCTTTTCCTCCTGCTCCTCCGGTCGGTCTAGGGAACAGGGCAGCCCGCGTCTCACGCCGGAAGCGAGCGACCCCAGTTTCCTTTTCCAGGTCCTCCTCTTTGCTCTTGGCCCGAGCTTTGGCCACCGCCCTCTTCTCCTGCTGGCGCCACTTTGCCGCCGCAGGGGACGCCGCCCGGTCGTCGTCAGTCGAGTAATCGCTGAGACGGGGCCGTTTCGCGCCAAACCCTTCCGACGCGACGCCGGGTCTGCAGTCGGAGTCTGACGCTGCTCCATCGTCGCACTCCATCCTTGCGACGGGATCCGGGGTGTCACTGGCTGCCGGGAGGTGCTGCAGCGAGGCGTTCATCACCACGATCGGAACGCGCTCCAGCAGCACTCTCGCCTCCTTCATTAGGACGTCCTCCAGTGAAGGGCGCCTCGTCATCTCCGTAGCCAAATCACGTGCTTCAGAGTCCATCTTCGTAGCCAAGGTCGTCGTTGTATCCGTCAGGCAGTTTTTGCCCCCCCCAGAATACGAGGGGCAGCCCGCGGCCGAGGCCGCGGGGAGGGATTCTCCTCCAGCTAAGCTGGAGGTACCCTCCTGGGGTAAATTATCTTTTAAACTTGCCATTGCATACGTGTCCAGTGTTGTCGGACACCGGAAACCGCCTTTGATACGGGGTGAGGTCCCCATCCCTCGCGGCCTAGCAGGCCGCCAACCTCCGACCCCGCAGGGTCCGCTGGTGTTTCCCGCGGGCCTGTCCGGTATGGGAGGCCCTATCCGGCATAGCCCCGCGGAAAACACCCATCCACTCCGCACGACGGCACCTAAGTGCACGTCGCGCCCTACACCGCCCATTGGGCCCCGTCCAGGGTCTGCGCTAGCCGCAGGACCCGACAAGAACCCCGTAGTGTTCGCGGGCCTGCCCGGTATGGGTAGCCCTATCCGGTATAGCCCCGCGAACACTA